TATATATACACACACACAGAGTATATACATATGATTTTATTTTAATTTTTTGTGAAATGTTAAGCTGGTGTTATTTTCCTTACATTTTCTTCCTGTCTCTTGTTCCCTTTCTTGTGAAGGAGGTAAATATGTGCCGAGGGCCATTCTTGTGGATTTGGAACCAGGAACCATGGACTCGGTGAGGTCTGGACCCTTTGGGCAGATCTTCAGACCTGACAATTTTGTGTTCGGTGGGTCCAATAAAGGCTTTTGTCTTGTTACTGTAATAATTATTGATTTAAGAACAGAAAAAAATAATTTCTTGGGTTTTTTTTTTCCACAGGTCAGAGTGGTGCTGGAAACAACTGGGCCAAGGGACACTACACAGAAGGAGCTGAGCTGGTGGACTCAGTCCTGGATGTGGTCCGCAAAGAGTCTGAGAGCTGTGACTGCCTGCAGGGCTTCCAGCTCACCCACTCTCTTGGTGGTGGAACTGGATCTGGTATGGGAACTCTTCTGATTAGCAAGATCCGTGAGGAGTACCCTGACCGGATCATGAACACGTTCAGTGTGGTGCCTTCCCCCAAGGTAATTTATCTTTGTGTTAGCACATGAGGATTTCTGGGTTTATATTTAGCTTGTTTTGTTCTAAGCTCCTAGGCTATCATCATATGACTGAATAAAAGTGATGCGTATGTGTTTACAGGTCTCAGACACAGTGGTTGAGCCATACAACGCCACCCTGTCGGTGCACCAGCTGGTAGAGAACACAGATGAAACTTACTGCATTGACAATGAGGCTCTGTACGACATTTGCTTCCGCACTCTGAAACTGACCACACCCACCTATGGTGACCTAAACCACCTGGTCTCTGCCACTATGAGTGGTGTCACCACCTGTCTGCGATTCCCTGGCCAGCTCAATGCTGATCTCCGCAAACTGGCAGTCAACATGGTGCCTTTCCCCCGTCTGCACTTCTTCATGCCTGGCTTTGCCCCCCTGACCAGCAGGGGCAGCCAGCAGTACCGTGCCCTGACAGTTCCCGAGCTCACCCAGCAGGTGTTCGATGCCAAGAACATGATGGCCGCCTGCGATCCTCGTCACGGCCGCTATCTGACGGTCGCTGCCGTGTTCAGAGGCCGCATGTCCATGAAGGAGGTCGACGAGCAGATGCTCAATGTTCAGAACAAGAACAGCAGTTACTTTGTCGAATGGATCCCCAACAACGTCAAAACCGCTGTCTGTGACATTCCCCCTCGTGGCCTTAAGATGGCCGTCACTTTCATTGGTAACAGCACAGCCATTCAGGAGCTGTTTAAGCGCATCTCTGAGCAGTTCACAGCCATGTTCCGGCGCAAGGCCTTCTTGCATTGGTACACAGGTGAAGGTATGGATGAGATGGAGTTCACTGAGGCAGAGAGCAACATGAATGACCTGGTGTCTGAGTACCAGCAGTATCAGGATGCCACCGCTGAGGAGGAGGGTGAATTTGAGGAGGAGGCTGAAGAAGATGCTTGAAGAGAAAGATGTGAAGATGAAGAAAGCAATGCCAAAATCAAACTATCAAAGGAACAAACAACAAATACAGTAACCAAGAACCCAACACAGTGTCAAGAGCATTACTAGGATCACACCTTAGCTTACAGTAGTTAGCTGCTGTTGTTCAATTCAAATAAACTTGTCAAATGCCAACTGTGTGATTCTTATTTGTGTGATTAATCCTGCAAGAGTTGATGTGAAGACTAGATTAACAAAAGTGATTAACATTAATAGTTTCACCTTTAATTTATTGAGGAAATTAAAATATAAAAGTCTTCTTTCGGCTGCTCCTTTTCTCAGGGGTCGCCATAACGAACAAACCTGCACAAAGATTTGGTAGTTGTTTTTACACTGGATGCCTTGAAACAACCACAGACCACCGAGCTACCACAGCCCTCTGTGTGGAGCAAAGCGTTGCCATCTGGGGCGCTCAGGGGAGCAGATGGTGGTGGTTGAGGGCCTTGCTCAAGGGCCCAGAGTGGGGCAAATGAGGGTGGAGGCACGCGGGTGCTTCACCTTTCTCACCCACATTTTGATGTCAGTCCAGGGGATTACCTTCTGATCACAGGTTCACCTTCTCTAGCCTCTGAGCCACCATGCCCCAAAATTAAAACATAAACGTAAACTTCACAAATGTTTAAACCATTTATTCTAACAGAAATTGTTAAATAGTAGCACTCTCTATTAGGATGTGCATCAACTTAATTTGTTTTGAAACAACTGCTCTGTAAGATGTATAGGTAATGTTGTGCAAACAGGTGAACAAGTTGGTGAAGTGACAAACCTAAAAAAACGTATGGTCTTTGCACCTTGACAGATTTTCACGTCTTGTAGAAGAGTATTAGGTGAGCGATATATCAGAAACAGAATAAACTTTATTATTGCACCGAGATACAACGAGAATATGTCGGTACAGTCATCCGAAAGATGGGCGGAGTGCACGTAGCTGCTGCTAAGCGCGGCCTTCTTATCCTTTTCAGAATACATTTTTAGATAGAAAAAGGGACAAAGCCACGAGGAGAGGATAGTGGCATTACAAAAAATATCTCTTCACACCTTGTCCTAACAGGACACGGTATAAGACATAAAAAACTCTTCCAGCAAGCACATTTATGAACATGTTACATATGCATATCAGTCCATAACACCAGCAAGAATGCTTCAGTGTTATAATTTGGGGAAATTAATTAGGTGCAGTGGCTGTAATAAGCCACACAAAATGCATTTTCACTGCTGGCTAACACATCTGGAAACAGCTGGGCTAATGTTCCCACCTGAGCAGAGCAGTGAAATAATTAATTACTTGTCTCAATGAAATAATACCGAAAACAATGACGTTTGTCTGTAGATATGTTCCGACACAGATGATTTGTTAATATAGATAAAAAAATTAAAAAAAATCCAGGCTTTATAAAGACACTCAGATGAGAACTTCTTCAGCCACCAACATGGCCAGTTTTTATTTATTTTTTTTACTTTAGACTTAGCATGTCCTGGATGACTGATAAATCTACACGAGTAATCTGAGATGTAAACAGTAAAGACTAAAAAAAAATAAGTTTGGGGACAAAGAGCAGCAGCTCTCAGTAAATACAATACATAGTAGTTTGTCATTATCTATGAAATGTTACTATTACCACATAACAGGATTACAGAAACTCATGTCTGCTCTTCTGACGTGTAAGGCGCGAAAATAAACGTATAAAGAGAGCGATAAGTAACTTTTGATCCAATCAGAGACGTTTTTAGTAATGCTGGGTAACTGTCCAATGAGAACAACGCTTTTAAGTGAGTGACAGCTAGATTAGCCAATCGGTTGGATGCCTAACCCCTTTTGTGGGCGTAGTTAAATAATCGGCGTGTATTTACTTTTTTTTGTTTATCTCTGCTGCTGATCTAGGAAAGCGTTTGATGGTATGTGTGAAAGTATATTTTAATAAGAAGCTTGTTGTATGGTGTCAGATTTAAATTCGCAATGAAACAAATCGCAGACCAACAAATTAGGCCGTTGAACCGTCGAGTCATAAAAAGTCGCGCGTGCTTCCCTCGTAGTTTCAGTGTAACTGCCATGAGTGTTTATTTTTTGAAACAGCGATGTTTGAGAAAAGATCCTATACTTTGCTGACTATACATTTAAAACTATGATTAATAAAGGTGTTGCAATATTAGACACAACTAGGAGCAGTAAACGTTAATACGGACCGGAAGTGTAATTGCTGTGATTTTGATAGAAACGTTCTGTCGTTTTATAACACGTTTAATAAAAGTTCTATCAGCGTTGCCAAAAAAAATTCGGGTAATTGCTATAAACTAAACGTTAGGAAGAGTTAAACGGAGAAAGTACGACTATCTAGATGTTATTTTAACGTAAGCATGATGGCTAAATGAGTTAGCCGCGCAGGCTAATGTTAGCTGCATAAAGTCCACCAGTTGTCAGAGAGTCAGAGTTTCTTTATTGTCATTCGCACCTCATGTGGTACATGTGGTGGAGCGAAATTATGTACACGGGGTCCCAGTTACATCCAACAATAAAATGTCTAAGAAAAACAGTAATAACATCTAAGATATGAACTAAGAAAAACATCAACTAAATATACACTAAGCACTCATAACATAAAACATTGAACATCAGCACAAACATGAACATGAGTCTGTGAGCAGATGTGCACGCATGAACACATCAACATTGAAACAGATCAGCAGCAACATGAAACCGATCAGCAGCAACATGATATGGTTTTTCACAGTGATTATTCTAGTTAGAGATTCATGAGTCTAACAGCCTCAGGGTAGAAGCTGTTCCTCAGTCTAGTGGTTCTACACTTAATGCTCCTTAACCTCCTTCCTGAGGGGAGTGGGGCAAAAAGTGTGTGTGCTGGGTGAGTGGGGTCCTTCATGATGCAGGTGGCCCTCTTCCTGCATCTGGAGGTGTAGATGTCTGTGATGGTGGGGAGACTGATTCCAACAGATTTCTGTGCAGCCTTCACCACTCTCTGCAAAGCTTTTCTTTCTGCAGCTGTGCAGCCTCCATGCCACACATTGATGCTCGAGCACAGGATGCTCTCCACTGCACACCTGTAGAAGGAGGTGAGGACTGAGCTTCCCAGACCAGCTCGCCTCAGCCGTCTGAGGAAGTAGAGTCTCTGATGAGCTTTCTTGATCAGGCTGGTGGTGTTGTTGCTCCAGCTGAGGTTGTCATTCATGTGTACACCCAAGTACTTGTAGCTGGAGACCACTTCCACCGCAGATCCTCTTATGTTCAGGGGGGTGTAGGTGTTTTTGTTCCTTCTGAAGTCCACAATCATCTCCTTTGTCTTCTTCACATTGATGTGAAGGTTATTCTCTCTGCACCAGCTCTCCAGGTGTTCCACCTCTTGCCTGTGGCTGGACTCATCATTGTTTGTGATGCATCCCACCACCGCTGTATCATCTGCAAACTTTACAATGTGACAGCCTGGATGGGTAGCTGCACAATCATATGTGAGCAGAGTAAACAGAAGGGGGCTCAACACACATCCCTGAGGAGAGCCAGTGCTGAGGGTTATGGTGGAGGAGGAGAGGTTGTGGATCCTCACTAACTGTGGTCTGTTTGTTAAAAAGTCTAGTACCCAGTTGCAGATGGAGGGGCTTAGTCCTAGTGTGGATAGTTTGTCCATCAGGGTTTGGGGGATCATGGTGTTGAAGGCGGATGTGAAGTCCACAAAGAGCAGACGGACGTAAGAGTTTTTCTGCTCCAGGTGGTTGAGTGCAGTGTGGACCACAGAGGAGATTGCATCCTCTGTTGATCGGTTCTCACGGTATGCATACTGATGAGGGTCCTCGTTGATGTTGATGGTTGTTTTGATGTGAGTCATGACCAGTTTTTCGAAGCATTTAGCGACTATCGGGGTGAGGGCCACTGGCCGATAGTCATTCAGACCAGTCACTGTAGAGCTTTTTGGGACTGGGATGATGGTGGCAGTCTTCAGGCAGGTGGGAACTGTCTCCAGGGTAAGTGAGGTGTTAAAGATGTCTGCCAGCACCTCACAGAGCTGATCAGCACATTCCTTCAACACTTTTCCAGGGATGTTGTCTGGGCCAGTTGCCTTGTGCGGATTAATCCTCCTAAAGGTGCTCCTTACTTCTGCTAAGGTCACGCTGAGATGCTCTTCATCCGGTTGCGAGGTGAGTCTGGTGCTGGGTGGTCTGTTCGGGTCTTCAAAACGTGCATAGAACTTGTTGAGGGCATCAGGCAGAGATGGGTCTTTGGGGCATTGTTCCCTCCTTCCTTTATAATCTGTTATGCACTTAATGCCCCTCCACATGCTCCGAGGGTCTTGTGAGATGAATTGACCCTCGATCCTCTTTGCATATGTGGCCTTGGCCCTCTTAATACCAGCAACCAGCTAGCTCTTTTCTTGTCCTACTCAGCTCCTCTGAGTTTCCAGACCTGAAGGCAGTGTTCCTGGCTTCCAGCAGGGTACGCACCTCTGCATTCAGCCAAGGTTTTCTGTTTGGGTAGCTTTTAACATTTCTGATAGTGGAGACTGTGTCAGTACATGTACTAATGTAACCCAGTACTGAGGATGTGTATTGGTCAAGATCAAGCGAACCTCCATTTTCAGCAGCTTCTCTGAAAACCTGCCAGTCTGTTCGATCAAAACAATCTCTCAGTATTGGTCCACTGTCCTGGCTCCAACATTTAACTTTCTTTTGTACCGGTCTGGAGCGTCTCAGCGGGGGCATGTAAGCAGGAGCCAGGAAGATTGAGATGTGGTCTGACAGTCCTAGGTGGGGGCGGGGTTCGGCTTTGTATGCATCTTTTACGTTCGTGTAAACACGGTCCAGCGTGCGGTCTCCACTTGTGCACCTTGAGCTAACGTTGGTTGGCTTTAGATGTTTTTGGAACCACCTGTTTTGTGTTTACGATTTGTGGTCGACCTGTTTCTTCTTCTGGCAGAAATGGATGCCACTCAGGCGATTAGTGACTCGATTTTAGAGTCAGATGAGGACGAAAACAAAGAAGAGCATCAAAATAAAAGAGGGAGACCACTGGCTAAACTGTGCATCCTAAAAAACTCACATCTCCCCGAGACAGGTAAGTGGTCCATCACCTCTTTTATTACACATATGATATGGCAAATTATGCACAATCTGTCTGAAATATTGCCTCTATGATGTATTTTCTCTTTCATTCAGAGTTGCCCCTCTTTTTGGGAGATAATGTGCTGGGCCGTGACCCCAGCGTCTGCTCACAACCACTGCTTGCCTCCTCAGTGTCCAAGCAACATGCCACCATTTGCATCTCTGTTTACAGAAGAAGAGGTTGCCACACTGAAGTGGACGTGGAGGCTTTGGTTTGGGACCTAGGAAGCATGAATGGGACCCGTAAGGGACGGCTAAAGCTGACTCCTAATGTCCGCTACGCCCTCAGTGAAGGCGACAGCTTGGTTTTGGCAGACATCCCGTGTCAGTATGTGAGCTGCAGTACACATTCAGTCTCTTCTCAAGATGACATGGGAACTCCAGGGAACAGAAATTCAAGAACAAAGACTGTGTTGCCAGATGCTTTGGGAGACACTGACACAGTCAGTAATAAATGTGTCAGTGGTGGAACAGAAGCAAAGAAGACCTCCGTCAGAGGCGGTTGTCTGTCCTATGAGCAAACACCAACCCAACCTAAGGGGAGCTTGGTCTCTGAATCTGACTCGGACTCAGACGGAGAAAGAGGGGTGAGAGGTGACAGAAGACTGAAGACACAAGGTATATTTAAAATTGATTTTTATCGCCTGAAAGGCAAAAGGCAGGCAATGTTTATGTTTGTGTCTGTCTGCCTGTTAGTAAAATATACCATTAACCGTTCAATGAACTTTATTGAAACTTGCAGAAAGTAATAAATGGATGCACATCTACAGCTGATTTACTTTTGAGATCATCTTGATTCAAGATTGCTGTCACAGTTAAGCAACCTTAAAAAGCTTTAAAAAAAAAGTATAACTTTACAGATGTTGAATGTAACTTGGTGTAGTGATAGCTTAGTCCTTCACAACATGTACTCTGAGCATGACATCTGGTGATATCGCATGCGATTGTACATAACGTTATTTTTAATTCTTGGTCAAAATGGCTAGGACACTATCATTTTATAACATATGAGGTTCTTAGTCTAAAAAGTGAGTCATGTAAGGTTGCCGGTAAGATGCAGTGCCATGCCTTTAATTTGATTTATGTTTTGCAAAAGTTGCTTTTATGTTGTCTTTGTTTTTATGTTTCCAGTGTCTGATTCTGACTCCCATAAATTCAGTTCCAGCTCTTCGTCATTCTTAAGTCCTCCAAACAAAATCGTCCCTGAAAGGTAATATCTTTTTTTTAAGAGTTATTTATGATGTAATAACACACAAAAAAAAAAAACCTACTTAGTCAGTAAATTCTACCTTTCCCTTCTGAGATGTCTCTTTTTGTTTTACAGTGAGGATGAAAGTCCCATCAGGCCGTCCACCTCCACCAGATCAACCAGACATGTCAGTTTCAGCACAGGAAACACAAACGCTGATGTGGAGCGACAGCATCTGGAGAAAAACACGTCACTTGCGTTTGTAGAAAACAGTGAAGAGGAAGAAGAAGGAAGCCGGCTAGATGTGAAGCAGAAAAGTCATGTGAGTTTTCCAGAAGAAGGTGAATTGCTTGTGTCTACTCCAGCAGTTTCCCTGGATGCCATCTCTGCATTTAACATGGACAGTGACACGGATGTGGAGGGAGAGGAGGGTGAAAGAATGCCTGCTGGGTCTTTGAGCTTAAATACCAATCAGCAAGCTGATCACCCACCAAACACAGTCCTGTTTCATATGGACAGTGATACAGATGCTGAGGAAGATGAAGACATTTCAGACTTGGCTCCTAAAACTGTGTCTAACGAAACTGCCAAACCCTCTCATGTTGCATCAGGTATTCACTTTGATGGCATCGTTGCTGACAGTGACACTGATGTGGAGGAGGAGGATGCTGCTGTGTCAGAAGCTATCCTCACAGCCAAAGCCACATCAGTTCAGGCTGACTCTGCTTCTTCAAGAGATTTCCACTTGGACAGTGACACAGATGAGGAGGAAGATGAGGCAGGATGTAGAACAAAACACAATTATTCTAAAAGCAATGAAACACTCATCAAATCTGATTTAAAGCCTGACATGGCTGAATCTGCTGCTCCTCGTAGTCTGCTTCCAGACACCAGGGATGAGTCTGTCTGTGCTCCTGCAGCTGGCGACCCCTCTGTGACTGCAGCTCTGACAGAACCCTGCACCTCTGCTGCAGCAGCTGATTTAGACATTTTGTCTGACAGTGACACAGACATGGAGGAGCAGAAGGATTCTCCTCTGGTTACTCCTCTAGGTGCCACAAATGTGTCGGCATCTTCTGATAAAATGTCGGGATGTGATGCGGACACAGATTTGGATGAGACCCATGCAGGAGATGAGGTCAATCCAGCTGATCTCGGAGGGAACGGTGATGATGTGGAGGCAAATATTGTTGAGAAGGACGAGGATGAGATCCCTCAGCTGGAGAGAGAACATAGTTTAGGATCTCTGGTTCCACTTCTGCAGAACTGCTCTACTCCTGTTCAGGATTCAGGTAATCAGACTAAATATTCAGAAACCACAAACATGTTGTTTTGCTTAGACGTGACATAAAAATGCTCAAATGTAACAGCTTTTTTTTTTTTTTTACATTTTATTTGCATGTGGCCTTTTCAGAAGATGTCGAAAACATGGAGACTCAGGCTTTTATAAGCCCTTCTGCTGTTTTTAGACGTGAGTAAAAAAATTATTACTGCCTATTTCTACAACTTCATTTCACAAACATCAAGTTATTGTTTTGAATTGTTCTTTTATTAATGTTTTTCTTTTACGCTTTATACTATTGTTAGATGTAACTGGGACCTTTTCGTTTCATCGCATGCACCACATGTGATGAGAATGATGAGACCTTGAAATGTTAAACATAACAAATGCACAAAAAGCAAACGGCAAAGATGTGCAAATCAGCATGCAAAATGTTGAAATGAACAATATTTATGAAATAAACATGTTTAAAAAAAACGTACAAAAGAATTTTTAACATGTCTCTTATAAATTTGTTTTTCTTGTTTGTCGTTTTATATAGAAATAAAAAAAATTTGTTAAATTTTATATTATTTTATTTTTTAGATCACTTAGTAATATTATAAGGCTTACAGGTGAAAAATAGTTAAAGTTGGTTAATTTTGGGACGTTTGCTGTTGTGTTTATGGATGTGCAATATCTTTATAAAGTAAAATAAAATACTAAACAAAATAAAATGGAAAGGTTCAGCCTGATTTTATGGCAAACTAGTTTGTGATAAACTTTAAACTTGCAATAATTTGAAAACATTCACTAGCATATATTATGTTTCATTTGTTTACATTGTTGTTTAATCGTTTCTGGTCACTTACATAATTTTAACTAAATTTATTACCGTCCATTTCAATAGAAAATTGTGTCTGAATCAAAAACAAATATCGATTTTATATAGAATCATTACACCAAAAATGGGAATCAAATCGCCAGACACCGAGAGATTTGCACCCCTAATTTATCATAAAATGTAACAAAGAATCAAATTACACAAGAAGCAAGAATATGAAAGTTTTACTGAAGAAGTGGTCCCACATGCCTAAGATTGTTTTTTTTTTTAAGAAGTGGTGCAACGCAGTGGTAAACATGTCGTGGTAAACATGTCCCTGTCCTGGCTTTTTTAACGTTCTTGGCATCAAATTCAAAACATTTTCTTCTTTTTGTCCCCCAGCTGCTGAGGCATCTGCTTTAAGACACATAGTGCCGTCTTCCTGCTCAGACAGCCAGGAGGATGAAGATTACACTGTAGCTGAGACCCAGTCCTTTGTTCTTCAGACCAGAAATCAGCAGGCAGGCGTGGACCCAAACTCAGTGTCGGGGCTTGAGTCCAAACCAGAAGATTGGTCCAGCAGAGTGGACTCCTTCCAGCTGGGGTTGTCTGATAGCAGCCACCTGCTGTGTCAGGAGAGCACCCAAGCTTTTGTGTTGGTGGAAGAAGGGGTGAACCTGGAGGAGACCCAGGCTTATATCTCTACAGACACAGGAAATGACTCCAACCTGGAGGCCACGCAGGCCTTTGAGGAAAACGAGGAGCCTGATAAAGTTCCAGATGTTTCAGCAAAAGAAGGTTGCGTTAATTTAGCCTTTGAAGCAACTCAGGCTTACATTTCAGAGCCTTACGATGATTCAGAGAAAGATTCAGATGAAGATAAGAGACAAAGCCCAGCCGTGACTGAGGCTGCAGATCGTACAGACAACTCCTCCACGCTCGCTGTGGTTGAAACTCAACCAGTGCTGCCTTCTGAGGAAGAGGGAAGTTTGGAAACAAATAATTCAATTGTTTCTGTGCAAGTTAGTCCCAAAGTACAGAATGAAACAAAGGAAAAGATCCTCTCTGACGCTGATTTTAATGTTAAAACTCAGCCCATGTGTACGAGTGACGACAAGGAAAACGACGATGAAGACTTATCACCGCAGCTTGAAGAGGAGAAAACACAGCCTTATGCTTGTTCTGCGTCATCATTACATGAAACCCAGCCCGTGCATGTCAGCGTTGCAGAAACTCAGCCAGTGGTTTTAGACGAAGACAGTGACGAGTGCTCAATGCCGCTCTTGCGAAAAAGAAAAGCGAAGCAGCTTCATATTGAAGAAGAGGAGTCTCAACAGCTGAGGAATTCTGATGCTTGTGCTGCTGAAACTCAGCCTGTTGCTGCAAATGACGATGATGATGATTCAGTGCCATGCTCACGTAAACGAAAAGCAAAGCCGCTGCAGCTAGAAGATGACACACAGTCACTGGGTAATTCTGAAGTGTCCGCTGTTGGATCCCAACCTTCAGCCACATGTGAGGACAAGCAGAGCAATGAAGAGAACTTCAGTCCCTGTCCTCAGAAGAGAAAAGCTAAGCCCCTGCAGGTGCAAGAAGAGCACACCCCGCCTCTGATCGGTGCTCAGGTGTCTGGTATTTCAACTCAGCCAGAGGTTGGAGGTGAAGAAGAGGAGAATGATAGTGAGGTCTTCGTCCTACCTCGAAAAAGAAAAGCAAAGCAGCTTCATCTTGAAGATGAGGAGTCACAGCAGCTCACAACTTCTGAATTCTCTACTGCTCAAACCCAACTTACACATGAGAATGAAGGAGACACGACTGCAAGTCCACCAGTAGGAGAAACCCTGCAGCTTGATGAAGAGCAGACACAACCTCTCGCTTCTGCTGAGGTTTGTGTTGAAACTCAGCTGAACGAGAGAGACGAGAAGAGCGAGGACTCAGTTCCAGGTCCACGAAGAAAAGCAGCAAAACTGGACCATCCTGAAGAACAGGAGACCAAGTCAGTATCTAGCTCTGAAGCCTCCTCAGTTGGAACTCTCCTGAAAACAAAAACAGAAGAAACAAGTGCTTCAAGTTCAAGACAGACAAAGTCAAAATTAACAAAAGCAAAAGAGGAGGCAGAATGTTCTGCACCTCCAAAGAGACAGACAAGAAATGAAAGTAAAGCTCTACCAAAATCCAGAGGAAGGAGAGGAAAAGCAAGACCAGAGGATGATAACAGCGAGGAGGAGGTAAAGCAGACACGAGGGAGGGTTATTACAAGGCAACGAAAAGATGAAGAGGAAAAAGAAGCTGACGATGGAGAACAACAAGAGGAGGTGGGGAGGCGGCGAAGGAGGGGAGAACATCAAAATAAAGGAAAAGCTAAAGAAGATGAAGAAAAGCTGCAAATGGAAGATGCAGAAAGAGTGAAACCTCATCCAGAGAGCGTGGGCGGCGATAGAATGAAGAGTGGCAAGCAAAAGGAGAAAGAGAGATCAGAAGTGAACTTGGAGCAGAAAGTGAGAGAGAAGGAGAAAGAACAGCAAACACGTCTGGAGACAGAAAAGAAAGCTAAAGAGAAACAACTGAAGGAAGAAGGAGAGAAGCAAAATGTCCCTGCAAGAGGTCGAAGGTCCACGAGGAAAACCACTGCAGCTGAGCTGGAGCAAAGCTCGTCCGTTTCAACGAGTGAAGACGTCCCAGCGAGGAGAACTCGATCTCGCTCCAACTCCTCCAACTCCATCAGCTCAGAGAGATCTGCTTCGAGTGCCAACACCCAGGAGAGTAAAAGAGGAGGAAGAGGAGGAACGAGGAGCAGCAACACACTCCAGACGTCCATTAGCAGAAGCAGCCGCCGGAGGGTAACGGTGGCTGCAGGCCCAATGGAGCAGAACTCATCCTTCAGCTCAGAGACCTCCAGCTGCAGGGGGAGCTCTCAGAACAGAGTGAGGGGGGGTCGGCAGCAAGGAAGAGGGAGGAAAACGTGTGATTGGCACGATGCATCGTCTGCTGATATCCTGCATAAAAATAATACAACAGGGTCAGACTCTCAGCTGGCCAGTACCAGTAGGGGGCAGCAGAGAGTCAATTCTGATGACTCAAAACTTGCAGTTTTAAAAGAGGAGGACCAGTCAAGCCTGGAAAAGAGAATTGTGGATGAAAAATCACCGCTGCCTAAAAGAAATGTCAGGGGCAGAGGTCAAAAATCTGTACAGACTGAAAATGTGGAGAAACTTTTAGTGCCTTCTGTCAATGATGGTGATGAAGGTAGAAACACGAGAAACAGGAAGAAGAGCGAGTTGGAAACGGATACGAACGTGGCTATTTACAAGATTTCCAGCGTGCCAAAACCAGCAGCAGAAGAAGAGAAGGATGAGCCAAACAATAAAATCCCTGCTATTCTCCTGGTGAGGAGGACAGGCAGAGCTTCCAGCACTCAAATAAAGAAGAAGGGGAAAGAATCTCTTCCCGAAGAGGAGGAGGAGGATGGTGAAAAAAAGAAGGTGGAGGCTGCTGAGAAGAAATCCAGAGGCCGGGCGTCCATGGTCCAGAAAAATAAAGAAGAGCTGAAGGAAAGTGGAACGTCTGCATCTTCTACAAGACAGAATGCAACGGTAGAAACATCAAAGGTGACTTCCTTATTTCACTTCTACATTTAAAGACTTTTATTGTCAGCTAGTGTGTTCGTTGGTCCACCGTTAGCAAAATATCTCATGAACCACTGGACTGATTTTAATGGAACACTCAAACTAATCATTGGACATGCATTTTATTTAACTAATTCAAGATGGCCACCACAGATTACTGACCCTAGCCATCACAAAGATGGCTGCAAGTCAATCAAATTTACACATATTGGACTAAATTTAGTGTGGTAGTAGCAGATAGTCATCCCCAATGTGTTCTCCGAGTGCTAACATGCACAAGCTCACGTGATAACATGTGACATCATTTACAAGGTGTGACTAAAAGGGATATAATTCATTTTTCATTATATTTTCATTTAAAACTTTGCTATTAAATGGAGCTGGTGAAATGCATTTTATTAGGTTTGAATTTGTTGTTTTAGTTCAAATAAAACTTTATTTTGAGGCTTAGATGTAAATCAAATCAAATGACAGTTGAGTTTTATGTGATTCATGTCCAGGAGTGTTGACTTCTTGTGTGGGAAGGTGAGTCAGCCTTTCCAGCCATTAGACTGCACTCCCATCATATCATAGTCTGTTTCCTCCAGTCTAACCATCACCATCAATATAGTAATGAATGAAGTGGTTTAGTGGTCAGCTGCCCACGTCATTTTATGTTTCTATGCATAAATTATGTGTTTTTTTTAACTGACTGTTTTAAATTTCATAATTTATTGTTTTCTTCTTGCCTTTTTTTTTTTCCTATTGCCTATTCGTCATCTTCCTTTTCTGTTTAGCAGCCTCAAACACCAACCAGTAATGCTTCCCGGAAGCGACAGGCCTCCTCAGACTCGTCTCCTTTGGCAAAGACTCCTCGCTCCTCTTCTGGCTCCCCAGCAGCAAGTTGTCGACTTCGAGCTGGGAGCCAAGCCTACAAGGTCTGTTTCTTTTTCTTTTTCTTTTTTTATACGGACTAGATTGATCAAAAGATATAACCGACAGGAAATGAGATAAAAAAAAAAAAAAACATCTTTATACTCATATTTGACCTTTTTGCAATAAAGACTGTGAATAAAAACTGTAAAATATTGGATTTTCATGCAAATCACATTTTGAATTAGCAGAATTATGAACTTATATTTACTGGTTAGGCTGGAATTAAACGAGAGAAATTATGAGTTTCATATCTATATGTTTTAATGAACATTTAATCAGTTAACATGGACATTTTAAGTACTGTACTGTTTAAAACAGTCCAACACTAAAATACTATTCAACTGTTGAATATTCACATGAATATATAAATATTTATTTGTGCAGAATTATGTCTTCAGCATCACCAAAGTGACTCATTGGCAGCACGATGGCTCAGTGGTTAGCACTGTTGCCTCACAGTAAGAAGGTCCTGGGTTCAATCCCTGGTTTGGACCTGCAGTCTTTCCCTGGAGTTTGCATGTTCTTCTTGTTTTTACATGGGTTTTCTCTGGGTACTCTGGTTTCCCACCAGAGTCTAAACACATGTATGTTAAGCTGCCTTCAGGCCCAGGCTTCCCCTGCAAAAGAGAACTGTGATCTCAGAGGGATTTGTTTAAATAAAGGTAAATAAATAAATATGTTTACTACCATTTTGGTTTATCTAAAAATACTACAGTCAGCCTAATGTGGGTCAATCATCTAACTCAAGCTTCCCTGTGGATTTCGTCTAATTCTGCCGAGTACTTTGTTTGCATTAAGTGTGGACCCGCATTTTAAAATTACATTCAGTATATCTGGAAAACTACCGGAGTAAACTGCACCTATTAATATAGTTCAGGATAACATGTTATTTATTTATTTATTTATTACAAATCAAAAACTGATTTGTGCTGCGATCCTGTCAGGTGCTGTTCACGGGGGTTGTGGATGAAGAAGGGGAGCGAGTGTTGGCTCGGTTAGGAGGCAGCATGGCTAAAGGCGTGGCGGACATGAACTGTCTTGTGACCGATAAAGTGAGAAGGACGGTTAAATTCTTGTGCGCCGTGGCCAAAGGTATCCCAGTCGTCACCACAGACTGGCTGGCAAAGGTTCGTCTCCTGAGCACCTGTTAGAAAACATGAACCGTGCTTGTTCTGTGTACGTTAAAGCAGACTCACTCGAACACACGCCCCTCTTTGTTTTCCAGAGTGGCACAGCTGGAAGCTTCCTTTCTCCTAATGTTTTTATTGTGAAAGATCCAGAGCAGGAGAATAAGTTCAGCTTTTGCCTGCAGGACTCACTGAAAACAGCCAGGAGTCAGCTTCTCTTGCAGGTAACACTCATCTGGTTTATTGCTCCATTTTTCTCTGAGTGAGCGATGCGTCAGTATCGTGTAGTGTTTTATTTCTTTACGTTGTGGTGAAAAAAAACAACAACCGGAGTCGTACTTTATCGTATCTGCCTCAAAGCAAAAGTTTGAGTTGGGCTCGAGTGTTGACTGTAGCTTGTTGGAGCTAATTTGACATTTACTCTTTATGTACACATTATGTTCAGGTATTATGTTTCCACGGCTGTGCAGTTTCATCGAAGCAGTAAAAGGATAACTTGATCCAACATAATAACGCTGATGCCTGACTAAAATTAGGGCGTACATCAGACCAAACTCTATTCCCAAAAGCCTTTTATTGATTGATTTTTTTTTTTTTCTTTCTTGCAGAGCCTGAACAAAAATAGAAACTATTCATGCTGTATTTGCTTACAAAGATGCGCAACGTATCACTTCACGTCTGTGTTTCTTTCAGGGATATAAGATCCATGTCACAAAGTCTGTTAAGCCGGAGCCGGTTCACATGAAAGAAATCATTTGCTGCAGCGGAGCCGTCTTTCTACCAAAGATGCCCTCGTCTCAGAAGGTGCTAATCGAGCTCCTCTCATGTCTGCCATGCCATGCTGTCACTCCATCTTACGTCTTCTCTGTCCCCCGACTCTCCCCACAGCCTCAGACTGTAGTGATTTCCTGCGAGGAGGACTGGCGACTGTGTGGCCCCGCCGTGTCTGCATCCCTCCCTGTCGTCACTGCAGAGTTCATCCTCACAGGGATCCTGCAGCAGAAACTTGATTTTCAGAACCACGCACTTTCTCTTGCAACTAACTCCCAACCTGCAGGGGACAGAGGACGATCCAGGAGGAAGACTTAGCACAATGTATCAGTGCAGATTAAAATCAGAGACCAATGGGAGCACTAGTGAGTCTGCTGTTTGTGACTTAAGAATGTATTCGCCAAACGCTACAAGATACGATTTATCCCTTTAATGCAAACACATTTTTAATGCAGATTCTTTATGCTTTAGACATTTGGTAAGTTTTTTTTTTTTTTTTTTTAACTGACAGATGTTTTACCGTACACATTTCCAATAATCTAATGTGGGCTTACCAGACTGAGGAGGTTGAGATGGATTGTGTTGAAACTTTGATCACATTCTGACGTTTTGTCTCACGTGAAACGAATGTGAAGTTCTGTCCTCTCAGGTAACGAACAGAACAGGACTTCGAGTGTTGAAACTCTTGATGTGTTCGCTTTAACCCATTCAGCCAGTTTATGAAGTAACAGCCATGCAGTTTATTAGTTCAAATCATGTTTGTGAGGTAGAACCGTCGCACCGATGAGCTCTGGGTGAAATCCATTTGCTGCAGCGATCAGTATATGGAACAAGCATCAAGCTTTCCTAATACAAACTGTATAGTGGCTTTTATACTGAGGCGATCACGAGCTCAAAGGTGTGTCTGTTGCTCCTCTCCATTAAGCAGCTCCACTCCATTAGGGCTTCATTCAGTCTTGTTGCCTTGAGGGAGAGTCGCACACAATCATCAGCATCTGACTGCTGATGCTGCTTCCACATCAAGATTTTATCCTGTTTGTCTATTGATGGACGGATGATTGGATGTTTGTCCAACGTCTTTTGATATACTGCCTCTTCGCCTTGTGTATAAATGTGAAAAGACCCGTATATAGAAATCGCATTAGGTTTTTCTTACCTGAAGCAAACGATGCGTTCAAATTGTGTTAATGGCCTTTTAAATACAATGTCTTTACCCTGTAATTTTTGAAATGTGAAATAACTCCAAAACAATTAAAATCATGAAAACATTAAATATATTCTTTCAAATGGGACTGTCTTCATCAATGTTGTGCCTTTGTGTGTGGGAATCAGTTTTGTTTGGTGCCTCCTCAGATTGAAGAAGTCCTTTGGAAGAAGGACGAAACGTCTCAAGCAAAAAAATGACCCGACTGAACATTGTTGGATTTTATATCTGGATTATTGAGCATGAACTTTGGTGTTTCACTTGTGATGTTTTTGTTTTGATTAACTTATAAATTCAGTTAAAATCAAATTAAATTGTGAACTTAAATTTCATATTGTTTGAAGTGAGGTTCTGTGAAAAGCTTATGAACAGAACATCTTGTAGATTTCTCTTTGAACGCCCTCATTTGGTAAAAAGAGTTGTGTCATGAACTAATGAATGATGAGTGGACATGACCAACGTGGATTCCTGTTGCATTAAATCACCTTCAGTCTCAACAAATTCATAGTTTGTGTGAACATATGTATTTAAATATATTACACACTTGGTATATTAAATTTTATTACATACTGGATTGTGATCTATCTGAGCTGCTCCTGAAGAGCTACTATTCTAGCTGCAATTTACTTTATGTAAATGACTTAAATATAAAGAAAAAATGACAGAGGGGCAGCGCTTTATAAATAGTGTTTACATGAACAATATGAAGTTTTTGAAATATGTCTTAAGTTGGCAGCAATCCATTTTGACCCCTACATATTAAATATTAGTGCTCCCATTCTGACCACCCAATAGTTTTTTTTTCAGACTACAGCTGTCAGCTTTTATTTGTACTAGCCTTTAGCTTCTTTTCAAACTAGCTGTTAGCTTTTATTTGGACCAGACTTTATTCTTTTCAGACTGGCTG